CAGATCGTCCAGCTGCGTCCTAATTGTCCAGTTGATACCGTGCTTCCCTCCAGATGTTGATGTTTTCATAATCCAGTCGATCACCAGGAGAAAGAGAAAGGGTGAGAGTAAGCAACCTTGCCTGACACCGGTCTTCACCTCAAAGGAGTCTGTTAGCTGTCCTTCGTGTACGATTTAGCAGTTGAATCCATCATAAGAGTTCCGCATGATGTTAACTATTTTCTCAGGCACGCCGTAGTGTCGAAGAAGAGTCCACAGTGTTTTCCTGTCCACGCTATCGAATGCTTTCTCGTAGTCGATGAAGTTGATGTAGAGTGGTGAGTTCCATTCAGTTGATTGTTTCACAATGATCTTTAATGTAGCAATTTGGTCAGTACATGATCGATCCTTACGAAATCCGGCCTGTTGATCTCGAAGTTGGGTGTCTAGAAAGTCCTTCATTCTGTTTAACAATACTCTGTTGAAGACTTTGCCTGGTATGAGCGAAGAGTGATGCCTCTGTAGTTCTCACACTTGCTGAGATCGCCTTCTTTGGTATTTTGATGAGTATCCTTCTTTCCAATCTGATGGTACTTGTTCCTCATCCCAAATCTTCTTGAAGAGATGTGAAATATTTTCGCAGTTGCTTCTACATCTGCTTTCATTGCCTCTGCTGGAATGTTGTCTGGTCCTGCTGCTTTGCCGCTCTTGATTTGTCTGATGGCCATACTGATCTCCTCAATCGTAGGTGCGCCAATATTAATTGGGAGGTCCGTGGATGCTGCTTCGATGTTGGGTGGTTCAGTGGAGCTGGTCGATTCAATAGTTCCTTAAAGTGCTCTACCCACCTATTTCGCTGTTGGTCAGTGTTGCTGATTATTTTCCCTTCCTTGCATTTCACTGGTCGTTCTGGTTTACGATAACTCCCGGCGAGCTTCTTTGTTGTTTCGTACAATTGTCTCAAGTTTCCGTCTCTTGCAGCCTTTTCCGCCGTCATTGCTAGATCTTCCACATATTTTCGTTTGTCAGCTCTGATGCTCTTCTTCACTTCCCTGTTTGCTTCTGTGTATGCAGCTTGTGCGGTAACTTTCTCTGCTCTTGTTCGGCTGACATTGATTGCTGCTTTCTTGTTCCTCCTTTCTTCAATTTCTGCGAGAGTATCAACAGAGATCCATTCCATGTGATGCTGCTTCTTGCGACCAACGACCCCCTGACATGTTGAAATGATTGCCTCCTTAATCCCTTGTTCTCCAATGTTGCGTCCTCTCCATTGTGTAGATCCTGTAAGGCCTGGAACCTATTGGTGAGGGCTATCTTGAATTCGTTGAGTTTTACGGTATCCCGAAGAAAGGCCGTATTAAACTTCTGTGATGTTTGGCTGCCCCCGTTGTCCAGTGCTTCTTTAGCTTCAATCTCATTTTGGCGATCAGCAAGTGGTGATCTGAAGCTATATCAGCTCCTCTCTTGGTTCTCACATCCTCCATGGTCCTTCTGAACTTTTTGTTGATACAGATATGATCAATCTGGTTTTGAGTAGTGTGATCCGGTGAAATCCATGTAGCTTTGTGAATGCGTTTGTGCGGGAATATTGTGCCACCGATGACTAGTTTGTTGAAGGCACATAGGTTTGCAAATCTCTCACCGTTTTCGTTTCTTTCTCTCAGTCCATGTCGTCCCATGATGTCTTCATATCCAGTGTTGTCTATGCCAACCTTGGCATTCAGGTCTCCCATAAGAATCGTCAAATCCTTTGGTGAACATTAATCGACGATTGACTGCAGCCTTTCGTAGAATTGATCTTTATCGTCGTCATTGTAGTCGTTGGTAGGTGCATAACATTGGATGACGTTCATTGTAATGTCCTGTTTCTTTGTTTTGAAGGATGCTTTAATGATCCTGGGTCCATGAGATTACCATCCTATTAGTGCCTTTTGTGCATGTTTGGACAGCATCAGTGCAACTCCTTGTGTATGTGAAGCGTTTTCCTCTTCATGACCAGAGTATAACAGCAGTTCCCCTGAAGCTAGTCTCAGTTTTTCTACTTGTGTCCAATGCGTTTCACTGATTCCAAGCACCTCGAGGTTGTATCTTTTCATTTCTGCCGCAACTTGAAATAGTCTTCCAGTCTCCCACAATGTACGAACGTTCCATAAAAGAAGCAAGTAATTAGAAACTTTCATCTAAATCAGATATTTTTCTGTACATACCAATCAGCTGTGTGGGATTTCACTGCTTTTTCACCGGAATACTTTCATCTGGCGTATAAAAGTCTACTGTTTCTTCCTAGGTACCTGATAGGATTACTTAGTTTATTGACATTTTAGACGATGTTCTCGAGGTTCTCGAATGAGTAAATTTAAAATAGAGCGGACTTAACTGAGCACGGAATTTGTTTTGATATGATTAAATACGAATCACTCTAAATCACTTTGTATGTCATGCAAAAAAATGTAGTTTAGCCTGATCGAATACACTTTTGTTTGTCAGCCGTACCATCAAACTTAATGCTGTAAGTCTATCGGTAACAGTATGGTTTGGAAAGCAGCTCGAAAGCATGACTGAGTAAAAATTACAAACAGAAATGAGACTTCACAAACTGATAATTTAGTGATATCGTTTGCTTGGATGAAATGATAGATCATGGTTCTGTAGCAGGTTATTAACAAGGATTTCCGTCGACATATCTGTTACAATGAAAATTCAGTGGATGTGTTCGCGCAAACCCATGCTGAGTTATTCATGGCTTTGATTGTAAGGAGCGATCGGTCTTCTGTCAGCTGCCGGGAGATTGAAGGCTGCATCTTGTGTACGACTGTTTTTTTGTTATCAGAAAGAGCACCAACTTTGCAGTATTGTCGATGAGAAAAGTAACTGTTGCCATGATATCAACAATGCATAACAGACAGTTATGTCCCCCATCTACGATTGTCGTTTCGCAAGTATCGGGAGAGTTTCTCGAAGGTTTATTGAGAAAGTGAGTCTTCGGTTGGGGAGACTGTAGTGTATTCTAGTATTTATGGAAGCTTTTCACGGTTATTGTGTTAGCAAGACCGATTATGGCTTTTTCTTGTGGTCTAGAAACAGAAATTTTTTAATTGAAACGGCATGCACCTGTTGGGAAGACAGGATAGAATATATGAAGAGGTTTTCGTTAATAGTTCATTGACAGACGAACGTTTCTAATAACGATGACCTTTCTGTCGCCTATTAGTGTTACGGTTCATTATTGTTCAGTAGTTTATCTAGACTTGACTGACCGAAAAGTCCTTCACTTATGAGGGATAACATGTGTGTTCAAAGGTTCGAAAACATCACTAATGAACTTAATGTGTGTTACGTACCTGTTTAACACAATAAAGCAGTGAACTTTACATGTTTGATAGTCTCGTAAAACTCGTGGAAGTCAGCTGACTAGTCGCAGAACTGGGTATTTGCGAGCTCCAAAGTGTTCGTATAAAAGTCAATAGGGGGTGAGAAAACACTTGAAAATATTAGGTCCATTGGACGTTTAGTTAAATTTTCACGAAGGCGTTTAAAAAACGAAGAATAAATTTTGGTAATCTTGATTGATTTTTAAATACCTTTGCTGTATTAGGCATGGTTCTGGAAGGTCATATGAGACTCCGTAAGTATCCTCGATTTTCTATAAATAAATCAATTTCTGAACAGGGCATACTTTTCTACTCCAAATCTTTCTTGTGTTTAAGTTTAGGTGTAGATTTAGCCTGTGGTTATAATAAGAGGGTATTAAATCAGATCTAGTGTTCATTTGACAATTTTCTCACGAAACTTCGACGCTGTCAAGCTAGAGTTGCATGAATATGTTTGACATCCTCAAGTCCAAATGTTTAACAGACTGGGTGAGTTCTGAGAATTACGACATTGTATATATATGTAACGCAAAATAGCGCCAGAGAATACAGACTTCACGGATGCTCAGTGTTTAGTAACGCTGTTATCCGTAACAGCTTTATAGTCAAGGGACCCAAACTCAGTGAATCCATAAGCCAGGAATGATAATTCAAACACATATTTGAATGATAGTTGGGATATGAGGGCTTGCATCGTCTAAACTAGCTAGTTGTTGTGAGGCCGAGCAGTACAGCGTATCCAGTTGTGATCTGGTGTAAGTGACCGACCGAACGTACTCAGCTACCGTATGCGACCTGATACGAATGACATCAAGGTAGGAGACCAGCACAACTATTAAATTTGAGGATTTATTTCAGCACGTTATGTAAAAAGGTCTGTTCGCAACATAGTACACAATTGAGAACGACCGCGAAAGGTAAATAGAAATCGTGACAATCCGCTAAAAGTAAACGAAGTCAGAAAAATGGATAAAACGAAGTAGTGGTTGATGGAATCTTACAGAATATTCACAAACAATCCCTATGTATTTGGACACCCAATATACATACACTCAATATATCCAGTATCCACGCCCCCTTAGTGGACAGCTTTAAGAAGATATTTGATAAACACGTACTCACATTCGGATTATCATTTCCCTCGTGGACAAGCTGTACCTAATGTATGCCTTGAGACTTGCTAGTCGTTATTTTTGCTGTCTTCAGATCACTAACTTAATATATATCGTCTATTATCTCTGTTCCCTCTCCCTTGTTTACACTTCGGTCTTCAGTCTTTACTACCAATCTATAAACTAAATTATCCATTATTTACCTAGTCCTGAAATCTTACTCTTACTAGCAGTAAAATGTTCTCCTGACTATTCTTCATATTGCAATTAACTGATCTCCGGTTTGGTAATGTGATAGTTTCTGGTATCCAGAAACCGTGCCGCGTTGAAACAAACGCAATCCTCCAAATCTCGGGACATACAAACAAATCATTGCCAATTGACTAAAATTAGTCGAGTGTTTAGACCTCCATTCGTTAGACACTACCAAACACCTAGAACCGTACCGAAAGAACAAGAATCGAGAGCAAATAAATCGATTGCTTTATACTGGCTCATGAAAAAGATATTGTATTTGGATATGTAAGATAAACCAATTGATTTCTTTGCGCTCGATTCTTGTTCTTTCGGTACATGATGCAAAACTTCAAGGTATTCCGCAGTATGCAGTAGGACGTCGGCAACATAAAGAAATCTACCTTTCTGTAACCAAGGTTGATTTCCTACTACCGAAACACAGATCAGAGGGAGTCTCTCTCTTCTGTCTAGTTGATAATAAGGGTCGAAGTACAAATGATACGACCTTTGTTCGCGGTAGTTTCGAAGAATTCCTTTTGGACCCTTAGTGTTGCTCATACGTCCAAAAAAGCACTTCAGAGACAAAGAAAAAGAGATTCTGTAGTTTACGATGTACATTCTAAAGATGCGTTAAACTCGAAGCAAGTTTACGTTTTCGGTTTCTCAGCAACTGGAGCTCTTGGTAATGAAAAGTATCTTGGTTTGCATGGTTTGTACTTGCTATTTTAACCTTCCTAATAATACACGTAGGTAAACCTGGAAGAGCAGGTGTTTCACACCCTGTACCTTTAAAATGTTCGTCTTCCATGGGTGTTCCATTAAAAGCTGCTTGTGGCTATGGTTTTACAACCTACATATGTGAAGGTAATTATGGAGATTTTGGAGTCTATGGATGTGGGATCAACAGTGATGGACAATTAGGATCACAGGTTAGTTATTTGTTTCGCACTTTTTAAAGTCCGTTGTTGAACACTTAAGGTTTCAAAGTTAATACTAAACAATATCCAATTCAGATTTGTGTATTGACGATTGAAGGCTAACAGTCTATGTTAGTCCTTCCCCAGTATGTTTTTGTAAGTTTGTAGTCTTCTGTTGAATGAGTAAGTTGAAGGCTTAAGCACTAATTCAGGTAGTAGGTTTCACGAGTTGATGACCCAGTGGGGAAACTTGTTTACTGGCTGGTATTTTGTCAGTTTTTAGCTTTTGACCTCGCCTAGTATATCCTCTGAGTTTTCCAGATCTATTAGGAGGTAAGAGATGGGGTACCTAAGACTCCAAGTCAGTTATTATTATTTAATAAAGTCTAATCACCTCTCAATTTGTGGTAGGATGGAGTAAAACGGTGTAGCCCACTAATCTCCCTTGTTCATGGTAAACCTCAGGATTCTGAAATTGCATAGGTGACTGTCCACTTTTTAAGATACCTAAGTCAATTTTTAAACAAGGAATAGCAGTATGAACAGTTTTCCAGTTCGGATCTCATTTCTGTGGCGAACACTCCTATTTAACTTGGCTAAAATCCATCTCAAAGCTTGTAGGGCTTTGAATCATGTGACAGTAGTCCGAGGTCTTGGGATCGTGTTTCGTGTCACTCCAGTCAACCAGAACAACTAGGTTAGTCGAACTTGCATCTCCCAGATTTTGATATCATCCACATAAAGTAGATCTAAGGACTCAGCAATATTCTTGAGTTCATTTAAGTTTAGGAAAAACAGTAAAAGAACTAAAGCATTCCTATACTACTGATTTCAATGAAAGCGTTCGGAATTCATTTTCTACCAACAACCTACCAATAAATCTTTGATCCTTTTTGGAGGAAGTTCAGAATTCTCTAGATGTTTCAGCTTCAGATGTATATTGTACAGGACCTTGTCAAATACTGTGCTAAAGTCAAAGTAGAAAATTTACGTTAGGTATCCATCATTAGTAACTTTGTCCATCTCGTTTGCTGTAAATTTGTATGTTCTAAAAGATGATCTTTTCCTTTCTAGTTTGTAAGTAGCTGCTCCTGACCAAGTGGCATCTTAAATATCGCAGTCAGTCGATGTATTGTGCAATTTATCTCAGGATTTTGGGATTTATTTCATCTGGTCTTGTTGATCTTACGGCGTTTAAAGTACCTAGGGCCATTAGTGCATTGTCTCAATCAAAGATCGCAGTGAGTAGCCTACACGGTAACTTATGGGTTCGGTCCTTCGTCGAGAAGAGGTTCTTGAGTGAAGGTCGTTTCGAAGTAATCAGCCTTAGCTTTTGCTTTGTTTTAATCTTAATCATTTATGACACACTCCCGTAATTAAAATAAAGTCCCAGAGGGTTCGTTCTTTTTCTGTATATGATGTACATGATCAGTTATTTCGGCTGTCCACCTACAGATTGCTTTTCCTATCCCCACCAAGTTACCTAGATTGTGTTTATGCACTTCGGGTTAACTTGTAACTTCCCCTCGTATATCTCAAGGTTAGTGGCAACGTTTCAGAATTTCTTCTTCCATCTTAGTAAACGTTGAGTCTCCCGGTTCACTCAAGGATGATCATGCTTTTTCTGTGAGACCGTCCAGGGTATTAATATTTAACAGTGAGATGTAATTGATCTGGAAGATGTGATGTATTTGCGCTACACATTTTGAAAAATCTAGTCATACATATACTTTTCAAGGCATTTTATGTGAAGATTAATGAAAGATCAATTGAATAAAAGTTCAAATAGACATAAGGTGATAATTTTAAATAAAGGAGAGAGACAATTACGGTAATATGAAAAGAATAAGAAAGGGTTGGAAATAGTCGCACTACTCTAGCGCAACTACTTCACATATTTCAGATCAATTACATCTTCTCACTGTTCTTTCAAAATTTATAAAAGGGACTAATTGTTTTAAATAATATTTAAGTTACTTAGCTGCATAGCTTCCAGAAGCGAATTCTTACCTCCCTTCTGATGTATCGGAGTCAACTTTCCAGTTTTCAGTCGAGGCTTTGAAGTCTACCTTTCATCTGCTTCACAAACGACATCAAAAATGGACTTCAATAAGATGACGTAATAAACTTATTAGACGCCCAATCATGGCAGTTCTCACTAACATCAGGTCACCCTGATCATATCAGTTCGCTTGTTATACATAAACTGAAAATATATGCATTCAAAAGCATTTACACGTTACCTTTAGACTATGGTTGACTGTAACCGGTAGTCACAGACTATAAACAAATTATTTTTTCGTAATTCATATTCTTTCAGATAAACATATGGGTTGTTAAAGATATAATCTATCGTTCATAGAATTAGCACCATTTGTTTGTCTTTGTGTCCTAACTGAAAGATGTCTTTTAAGAATGGTAACTCCGGACCATTACTGTCTGCTCAGTATAATGATTTTAAAATTCGCATTTCAGCAACCGAACTACGAAGAAAATCCTGTTACTCGTATTGGTTAACTATTTTAGCCATAGACCAGAATTTCGCCAATGAAGGTCAAATAAATTTCTTAGCACCTCTTCATAGTTGAATCAACTGGCTGAGTGGACAAATAGCCATAGCTATACAGTTCAGTAGTACAAACAGTTGTTCAGTAAAAAGGTACACGTGATGTATACCATATTTTTAATGATCTATGTATACTAAACGTTTGATTCAAACCAAGTACGCAAATTTGTATACAATTACTGCATTGTTACATTACTACACTGTTTATCTAATTATGTCAAAATCATTGTTTACTTTTTTGGTTTTAAATATAAGTTGCATCTTTATATAATATTTGTAATAATTGTGGATAATCAATTCATATCACTGAATCGATCTTTGAAGTTTCATAATACTGACTTAGTGTTTTCATACATTCCTTTTAAGATTTAAACTTGAGACTACAAGATGATCCTTTATTCCGTTTTTTATATACCCTCCAAAGTATTTATATGATTTTGGAATGGAGGCAGCACTATATTTGCGTACTCTAAATGGGACTGAAAAATCTTAAAAATCAAATGAAAATTTTCTATCGAACTATAATCAACAGTTTCCCATTAAAACTTGAAGATAAGAGCATTGACTGAATTCAAGCTATGGTAAAATTCTTAACGTCACAGTTGATAATAATCCTTTTTGAATAGGTTGTGACTCACAAACTTATTTTCAAGACAATACAAAACTTTAGTACCTTCGTCTCTATGATTCAATGTTCATAAAAGATTCTTTTTTTTATTTTAGTCTGTTGGATTAAAAACCGAACTGGCTTCAGGAAATTCAGTAAATGTTATTCCTGAACCTGTAAGAATTGATGTACGTCTTGACAACACGCAAAAAAAGATCTATCGTCCTTCTCATGTAGCATGTGGCCGAGCACATACTATTATATCATATGAAAATTTAAAAGAGCCGAATAATGATACACCTCCGCTTATTTTCAGCCTGGGCAATAATGTTTTTGGACAGTGTGGAAGAGAAATAATTCCTGGTGAAAAGTATGATCACGATTTAGAAGTCATAACAAAGATAGTACTTCCGCCAGAAATAAAATCTATTAAACAAGTACGTTAATACATTTGTTTGTCTGGATTTATATTCAGTTGACCTTAGTTTACATTTCTTTCTGTTTATAGTTTTAGCTTTGTAGCTAGTTTCAGTATTACTGATAGTGACCAGTTTGTTTTTTCTTCAATATAGGGCTTATTTTTACTGTAGTCTTATTGAACTAGTCATTCTGTACATACTCTTTAGTTTCCCTTTAAAGGATGCTGTCAATCAAAGCGTACAGATCAATATCCCAGTTTAGCTTGTCAAATTTCCTAGCACTACGTGAACTTTCTTGTCTTAATTAAAACAATGTTTTGATTTAGTTGATTCCGCAAAAGTTGTACCGGAAAAAATCCTTGTAAAATAAATAATAAAGAGTTTTACCAGTAGTAGATTTCCGTGTTAACAGTCACAATAAATAGAAGACTATCCAACGATAGATTTCTAATATTATTTTCATAATGATTCCTAGTTGCCTTATGGTGGTTAACCTAGCGTCATAAAATACTCTTTACTGAAGTCTTTAAATATTCCTTTGTTTTTTTTATAGTTAGTTTGTGGCCAAGACCATACCTTGTTGCTTAGTTCAGATGGTATCGTTTATACTTGTGGACTTGGATCAGATGGTCAGACTGGTTTGGGTCATTATAATGTAGTTGATCGATTCACTGCTATAAAAGGTTCATTGATAAATGAGCGTGTTCGGTAAGCTCTTAAAACTCTGCTCTTTTTAACCCGATAATGTTTACGTCTTAAATTTGCGATTCTTTAGCTTCATGAAGCACTGTATATCGTAATTGTTCTCAGGTTGTATATAAAATCTATAACCTAAACTGCACACTCAGTAATACCCTTCAATAAACAGAGTAACTATTTGTATCTTAAGGTTATATCAACGATAGATAATTATTGTCAGTATTACGAATAAGATTGTCTTTATTCATATTTTTGATTACGTTGTTGTTGTACTAAGTAAACAATAGCATGTGTTTTAAATTATTTTTTCTAAACACATAAGTTTGCTGTCGTCCCGTGGTGATACTGTTCTTGCGCTTACTGAATCAAATAAATTATTCGCTTGGGGTAATAATGAATACGGTCAAATATGGTCACTGGATCAAAATGTACAAGTTTCAGAACCTATTCATTTGAATTTAGATCATTGTATTGTACCATCAGAATCTCATTTATCTCCGGATAATGTTCATGTAGGAGAAATACAATCAATTGCTTGCGCTGGTTCTATGTGTTGTATTGTTAATAAAATTGGACAGGTAAATTTGGTTATTTTACAGTTCAATTAAAAAAAAATTATATTTTTTTTATTTCAAATGGTGTCCATGTCATCCATCATTTGTGGAATATTGATCCATGTAAATATTATATTACTAATGAGAAAACACTATAGGAAATAGAACTTGTTTTATTTTTCTACTGTTTAGTGTTTCATAGACACCATACTTCACTCAGATTTTGTAAAATCATAACAAGAATTGAAAAGGGATAATGTTTATTTGAATAAACCTAAACAACAAAGATCCATCCTCAAAAACATTAAATTCTCATAGAAATCTAGCTTATTCTCAATTCTTTCACTAGTGCTAATTGATTAAAAAAGTTGGTCGATATACGCGTTTCTAAATTGATCTTAACCTAAGCATAGAATAATCAGGACAGAGTCTTTTGACCATCTTAAAAAACAGTGTTAGCATATTTGGAATGCGGTTCTCTGCCTCCGAATTCAAAAAGTTCCAGGATTGCCTTGGGTCAGCGCCTGAATTAATGATGGGAAATGAAGTAGTTAGGTGTGTTGACTGCTTCACTTATCTTGGGAGTCTCATTAGTCCTGATACCACACAGATCAATGAATTTGTGTATGGGCTAGGATACTACTACACGGCCATCCAAACTTTTATTTATTTATTTCAATGATTTATATTTTACTCGAGTCGTATCTTTCATGCCGTTGGTACAGTCACTACCTCTACTACTCTAGAATCTGCTCTGACAATTTTATCTCTGTATCAATGCGTTATGCGACTTGAACTGATGTACGTACATATGTTGTGACTGACTGCTTTGGCTGTATTCTGCTTAACATGACTGCCTCCCAATCAGTATCTATTAGTTAGGATATTCTGAATTAATAATTTTATCATTGTTCGGTCATTTAATGATTAACTGGTCGTTGCCCTTGTAATACAAACACGGTACTTTTTAAAGGCAATCGCTACTGACACTAAAGTTGTAGGTACATCACCTAGATGCATATTTTCTCATGTATATGATGAGGTTTTCAATGAATTTGTAAATCAGAAATCATTAATGTAGTCTCAGAGTTAGTGTTGAGCAGCAGTTTAACAATAATAAAAATCCTGACTTTTGACTATTAGGTCGCGGGTTCGAACCCTTCGGTTGTTTTGGTTTAAAAAGCTAGGTACTTTCACTAGTCTCACAGTGTGTCCCCACATCGAATACCTGAACTTGTGATCGATAATCTAGTCACATTAAAACCAACCTGATAGCTTGGTAGATCTTCAATCAAATGTTTAGTTTAGAGTAAATATATTTAGTACCTTTATCAACCCGACCGTAGCTGCTACCTTGACGTGGTGGTCGGGCTTGCGTATCGTGATGACCCAACCGAGCTATACTGGCTGGAACACATGTTCCTGCAGGTCCTACCATGCCAGGCAGGTCGATTGGAGAACGATGAGACTAAAAGCAGCTACCCAAGGTCTGAGGGCGAAGTCGTACTGCTGACTGCAGAGGGGTGTGACAGCAGTAAGGTGTTTCCCTCGGACAACCAGCATCTACAGCGATGCTGCCTTCTCACAAGGAAGGAAGGGTTAGAAAAGGTAGGCCCTAAAAATGTCACACCTCCCCTAACTCACGGATTTCCGTCTCCTTGGGTAAGGGTGCCCACTAAGGGCCTTTAAGAACGGAGCTAATCCTCAAACAACGTTTCATAAAAAGGCCGTGCGTGACCGGCCTCAAGCAGTTGTCCCTTGGACTCTGCGGTCACGCACCAACACTAATCCATCTTCCTTTTCAGGTTCGTCAAGAAACAACCTTCCACGGTGTGGGCAGCCGGGAAGTGATAACCGCCCTCATACCCGCAACAGCACACGAGACAAAATTGTTCAAAATCAAATCCTTCCTACATTCCCTAATACCTCTCTTATCTCCACAACTAACTCTTCTCACATTCATTTATCACAGTGCACAGCTAATGCAAACGATGCGAGTTCGCGAAACGTCGTTCCTGGTCTCCTTAAACCCCGCTCTAGACTACATGTTGGAGCATTCAATGTACGGACATTGTGTCAAATAGGGCAACAGACATCATTAGCTAGGACTTTAGAATCTCGTTCCATCGATGTGTGCTGCATCTCGGAAACGCGCATACAGGATCCGAGTAGCATCACTCATTTGACCTCACCATGTCAAGATAAAGAAGCAGCTCGATTCACCCTTCGTGTATCCGGTAGCCCTGATGCTGCTTCTAGGGGCCTCGCCGGTGTAGGTATAGCATTGAGTCGTAGGGCAGAACAATCTCTCCTTGACTGGATCCCTGTAGATAGTCGCTTGTGCGCCGTCCGACTCAGCGGGACAATAAGGAGTCGGAAAGATAGGGACACTCGCCGTTGCCTCTTCGTCATATCAGCCTACGCCCCCACTGACTGCAGCCCAGATGATGTAAAAGATGAGTTTTACAGAAAGCTTTCGGACCTCCTCCAAAAAGTTAAGCGCTCTGATATAGTTATAATGGCTGGTGACTTCAATGCACAAGTAGGTAGACTAAGTGAAAATGAAAGACACCTAGGTGGATGTTACGGTCTCGCGGCTCAAAGAACAGACAATGGCGACCGTCTGTTGCAACTGTGCTCAGATAACCAACTATTTCTAGCAAATACTAATTTTAAGCATAAAGAAAAACACCTTTTGACCTGGCGACCCCCGAAGTCGTCTCAACTTTGGACACAACTAGATCATATCGCCATCAGCCACCGATGGAGGGGTTCGATAGAGGACTGTCGCTCGTTCTGGGGCACATGTTTAGATTCAGATCATGCCCTATTGCGAGCACGTATTTGTTTGCGGCTTGCTGGACGTAGGAAAGACACCATAAGGAAGCCTCTTAGGGCTTTACTTGATGATAATCAAGCTAAGAAAATATTTCAGGAGGAACTAGAAAAACAGTTAGGCGGCCATGAGAGTGATTCCCATCCTGAAGCAGGTTGGAATCATATCAAGAAGGCTGTGGAAACAGCAATGGTATCTGCTAGCAAGGTAAACCACAATGCTAGGATGAAGCAGTGGATTTCAGTCGCATCCACCCAACTGATGGATGCTCGAAAACGCATCCCACCTGACTCTGAACATGATGAAGAGCGTAGTCAGCTTAGGTGCAGACTTATAAAAAGCCTACGTAACGACCGTGAACAGTGGTGGGTGGCGAAAGCAAAAGCGATGGAACAGGCAGCGGCGATAGGCAACACTAGACAACTTTTCCGCCCTATCAAAGAAACCGGTATTAGGAACCCGAATGTAAGTGAGACTATCTCGGAAAAGGATGGTCTTATTATCCATTCTCAATCTAGGAGGCTGGACCGATGGGCAGAACACTTTAGGGATCAGTTCAACTGGCCTTCAGCCACTCTTCGGTTGCCCACGATCTCCAGTCATCCTGAATGGCAAATCGATTTAAGTCCTCCCAGTTTACATGAAGTTGAGAAAGCTATAAGAAATCTAAGGAGAGGTAGAGCGGCAGGTCCCGATAGGCTTACCCCTGAGATGTTTAAGGATGGTGGTCCAGTTTTAACGGTTAAACTGACCGAGATCCTAGGTAGAATCTGGGAAATAGACGTAATCCCATCTGACTGGTCTCAGTCGCTAATTGTCCCAACCTACAAGAAAGGACAGAAGTCCTCTTGTGACAATCACAGGGGAATAAGTTTAACTAATATAGTTTCTAAATTGTTAGCCTCGATTATACTTAGACGTCTAACCGGAGCTCGTGAAGAGCAGACTCGAGAAAACCAGGCTGGTTTTCGACCTGGACGTGGTTGTATAGACCACATCTTCACACTACGACAGGTCCTGGAACACATACACACATTTAGACGTCCGGCAATAGTCGTGTTCCTGGACCTTAAGGCGGCATTCGACTCAGTGGATCGTGAGGTTCTGTGGCAGTGTCTGTCATTGAAAGGTGTACCAAAGAAGTACATTAACCTTATACAAGCACTCTACTCGAACACCACTGGTCGGGTGAGAGCTTACGGCGAACTGTCTTCGGAATTCTCTACATCAAGTGGTGTCCGTCAGGGCTGTCCACTCTCTCCATTCTTGTTCAACTTTGTCGTAGACATCCTCTTAGAGTTAACATTAAGCTCGTCAGATTTTTCAGGGGTTGACCTTCTACCAGGAAAATCGCTTAGTGACCTAGAATATGCCGATGACATAGTTCTATTCGGTGAAGACGCTGACAAAATGCAGAGTCTTCTGACTACCATAAGCAACAATGCGAGCATGTTCGGGATGCGGTTCTCACCCTCGAAATGCAAAAGTTGCTTCAAGACTGGGTTGCTTCGGCACCTGAACTAGTGATAGGGAGTGAAGTAGTCGAGCGTGTTGATCACTTCACTTATCTGGGGAGTCTCATCAGTGCTGACGGTCTGGTGACTGACGAAATCTCAGCTCGGATACAGAAGGCTCGATTGGCTTTTGCCAACCTGCGTCACTTATGGAGTAGGCGTGATATCCGTTCGCTAACCAAAGGGCGGGTGTACTGCGCAGCAGTTCGTTCCGTTCTCTTATATGGCTGTGAAACATGGCCGCTAAGAGTAGATGTTCGTAGGTTACTAGTATTCGATCATAGATGTTTAAGAAGCATTGCTCGTATATCGTGGGACAGCCGAGTAAGCAATGCTGTCGTTAGGAAACGAGTACTAGGTAAGGATGGCAGATCAATAGATGAAGTAGTGAAACTTCACCAGTTGAGGTGGTTGGGACATGTGTTACGTATGCCTAACCACCGACTGCCTCGACGAGCTATGTTTTGTGGTGTAGGAGTAGGTTGGAAGAAAGTTAGGGGCGGCCAGACCAAAACATGGCACAAATCCATGAAGTCACTGACAAGGGGACTGAGTCATGTTGGTAGATGTAGACTACCTGGTTGGGATCCGCGAGACGAAAGTCATCAATGGTTAGAGACCTTGAACGACATGGCTCAAAATCGTTTGCAATGGCGCAGGTGCATCCACTCTTTGAGCCCTCTCAAATCCTAATCTTCTGGATTAGCCAGCACCTCTACCTTTGTCTTTCTAACCTTATCTCACTGAATTATATTTTTTGAATAATATCTTAAACCCTAGTCTTCTTTATTATAACATTAATACCTCTACTATCTTTATCACTATGGGATTTGATTTGACATTTGCGTCTCTGTGCTAATAATGTGGTATGGCAACATGAACTTATGTACATACGTACGAAGTTCTACGTTGCAACTGACTGACTGACAAATCCCATAGTAGTAGAGGTAGTAAAAATATTAAAAGTAATCGGAGAGATTAGGGTTCGGAGATGTTATTCAAGAAGTATAATTCAGTGAGATAAGTTTAGAAAGAGAAAGATAGAAGTGATGGGGAATTCAGAAGGTTAGAATTTCATACAACGTAAAGAGTAAATGCACCTGTGCCATTCCAAACGGTTTTGAGCCATGTCATTCAGGGTCTCTAACCATCGATTACTAACATATCGCGGACCCCAACCAGGTAGTCGACAACTACCGACATGACTCAGTCTACTTGTCAGTGACTTCATGCATTTCTGACATGTTTTGGTTTGGCCACACCTAGCTTTCGTACAACCTATTCCTACACCGCAAAATATAGCTCGATCAGGCAATCGGTGGTTAGGCATACGCAACATATGTCCCAACCACCTCAACTGATGAAGTTTCATTACTTCATCTATTGACCTGCCATCCTTACCTAGCACCCGTTTCCTAACAACAGCATTGATTACTCGGCTGTCCCACGATACTCAAGGAATGTTTCGAAGACACCGATGATCGAAAACTAGTAACCTAGGAATATCTTCTACTCTGACCGGCTATGTTTCACAGCCATAAAGCAGGTCAGAGCGAACAACTGCGCAGTACACGCGTCCTTTGGTCAAAAAAGGGATATTTCGCCTTCGCCATAAGTGACGCAGGTTGGATACGAGATTTAAAAGCAGATGTAAGTAGAAAGTAATTTCTCAAAGGTCTCAAATAAAACAATTATCTCAATAAGTCAGTCAGTCAGATACAACGTAGAACATCGTACGTACGTACATCAGTTCAAGTTAACATACCACATTAGCACAGAGAGGTGTATTTGTCAATGCAATTTCTATAGTGTTAGAAGTAGTAGAAGTATTAACATTAATGGAGATTAGTTGTCGAAGATATGATTCAAGAAGTATAGTCTAGTGATATAAAATTACAAAAGGAGGCATTAAGTAACTCAGACGATTAGAATGCGAGAGAAGATAAAGAATATATTCACCTGCGCCATTGCAAACGATTTTGAGCCATATCATTCAAAGTCCATGACCATTGGTCATAACTGTCTCATGGACCCCAACCAGGTAATCTACGCCTGCTAACACTTGTCCTTTCGTTATTAAACGGATATCGCGCCTACGCCTAAAGTGACGCATGTTGACAAAAGCCAATCGAGCCTTCTGTGTCCGTGCTGAGATGTAGTCAGTCACCAGGCCCTCAGCACTGATGAGACTACACAGATAAGTGAAGTGGTCAACGCGCGAAACAACTTCACTACCTATCACCAGTTAAGGTACCGACGCAAGCCAATCCTGAAGCAACATTCTGCATTTCCAGTAGGGAATACCGTATCTTGAACATGCATTGTTGCTTAAGGTGTTCAGAAGACTCCCTAAAGTACTCTGCCCATCGATCTAATCTCCTGGGTTGAGAATGAATAATAAGAATATCCTTCTCAGAGATAGTTTCGTTAACAGATGGATTCCTAGAACCAATTTCCGTGATAAGTTAGGATAGTTGTCTGCTGTTATCTATCGCCGTTGCTTTTTCCATCACTCTTGCTTTCGCTACCCACCATTGTTCGCGATCATTGCGTAGGCTTCTTATCAGCCTGCGCCGAAGCTGACTCCACCCCTCATCATGTTCAGAACCAGATGGGATGACTTTCCGAGCATATATCAGTTCAGTAGATGCTACTGAAATACACTGCTTCTCCTTAGTCTTTTGGTCTTACCTTACTAGCAGATATCACTGCTGTTTCCACAGCTTTTTGGATGTCGTCCCAAGCTGCTTCGGGGTGGGGATCACTTACATCGCTGCCTAACTATTTTTTTAGTTGCTCCTAAAATGTATTCTTAATTTTGCTATCATTAAGTAGGACCGTAAGAGATTTCCTTGCAAAGTATTTCCTACATCAAGTACCTCAAGAACTATTTGTTTGCAGCCATGAAATGTTAGCTATCCATATACCTCTAGTAATCACTAATATGATCATACATACTTCAAAGAAAGGAAAGTTGAAATGTTTATTTGTTGGCAAAAATAAGCCGTAGGTGAAAAAGCTAACTGAATTTACGAGAAATAGTAATTCCAAGTCAAAAAATAAAATATCATACATACCTTGATCATACTGCTCTGTTGTTCACCGTAAGCAAGTTGATCACATTTACGTCTTCTTAAGTCAGAAAATCCAATAAAAGGAATTGGGATCATACGATCAGGATGTGGATTATCAAGGCAAGCCTGACAAAAAAACAACAAGATTACTAATGACTGTATAACAGACATATGTAAATATATAATTGGTAAAAACACTGTATAGAAACGTAAGTGATGACGCGAATCTCCTATACAGAAACAAGTAGAACTGCTGAGAATAAATAAAAATAAAGATAAATAATAAAAATATAAGTTATTGGTTGCTATCAATGCAAGCCTTCGTAGTTATTTGCGAATTCAGTAACGCAATTGATTAAGAAAACCGACCACTGCTTAACCACTATGCAGTCATTAGATAATAAAATGATGAATGTATTTTTCGGAGCGGTGAATCAGAGGTCAATTCCTATCGATTTCAGGAAACAATTCACCAGTTCAAACCTACACTACTTTATCAAGTTTGGATTGCATCACTAGCCCCCTAACTTAGAATGTGGCTGGAAAGCAGCAACTAAATTAAGAAATGCATAAAAGCATCTTAAAAAGTTCATTGATATAAAATGAAAAGGTTTTACAATAAAGGACAGCTGTACATATTTACCTGTTGCCATATTAATCTATCAAAACCAGCTGGTGGATTCTCATTATAAGCAACAATCTGTGCAGCAGATGGAGATATTTCCGGAATTAAACGATTCACACACAATTGTGATTGAAGTTGAGGTGCAACCGATGGACTTGATAAATACTTTGCAAGTTCACTAGCGGATATAGTAGATGTTGCGCCTTGAAGAGGAAGAGATAAAACACAATTTCAAGACACTAAAAACATTCGCAGGTTAAGAGTATTCGATCATTTGTGTCTTTGAAACAATACCCGTATATTCTGGGACCACCAAGTAGGCAATGTTGGTGTTAGAAAACGAGTACTAGGTAAGGAAGGTAGATCAATTAATGAAGTAGTGAATGTTCATCAGTTTAGATGGTTAAGACATGTGTTACGTATGCCTAACCACCGACTGCCTCGACGAACGATGTTTTGTGATGTACGAGTAGACTAGAAGGAAGCTAGGGTCGGCCAAACCAAAACATGGCACAAATCCATAAAGTCACTGAAAAGTGGACTGAGCCATGTTAGCAGGTGTAGACTACCTGGTTTGGGTCCACGAGTCAATAGTAACCGATGGTCACGAACTTTGAATGACACGGCTCAAAATCGTTTGCAACGGTGCAGGTGTATCCATGCTTTGTCTTCCCTTAAATCCTAACCTTCCGAATTCCTCATCACCTTTGTCATCTTCTTTTTAAATTCACCTCGCTGGATTATACTCCTCGAATCACATCTACGACAGAATATAGCTTGTAGTCTAATCATATTTCTAAAGACCCAGTTATATCATTATACTAAATAATAGTTTTACAACACTAATAAATCTTAAGCACTATTTGGTATGCTCCAGGATTAACGACTATATTCTGTATATTGCACTAGGATATAATTACTCTAACTGAACCGAGAGCCTACACGTGACCCCATAAATCTGACAGCCTTTCAACGTATTTTTCCAAAACAACTGAACGGCGAGATTTTTAGTTTAAAAAAATGCTTTTACGTGAGTAGAGAATCGTTAATACTTATGGTTTATTAGTGAAACAGCTCACCAAGATGATACCACCGTTTTATGCCAACTAAAAACACACTGTGCCGAAAATTATGGGTTATAATATCTATCAAAAATGTTATATTATGTTATGCTAGTGAATTTGCACTGAATAAATTTGTTTAACTGGCAAACAGGATTCAGAGGTACAAAATGCACCAAAAAAGATGTGCAAATCGTTATACATTTTTACTAATAACAGTATACTGATAGTATGATACAATCAATAGACAAAATAAAGAACTTACCAGTAGCTAATCGTTCCACAACTTTCAATATGACCTCAGTACTGTCTTCAGCTTCAGCACATGGACGAATTTCTTCCACCACTAGCTGTAAATTAGGACGACCACCTAATAGTCTAAATAAACTATCTTGTACAGCTTGACGTTGATTTGTAACTTCAGAGAATGGACGGCCAATGTATAAACAAACAAGTCCATCAGCATCAGTACTTGTAGGCAAAACATTATATCCAATAGATTTTAATCGTGCAAATGTATTCTCCGGTGTATAACTCACCATACCTACAGCACTGTAACCAATACCAGTACCCCACATTGCTTGTAGTTGATTCCAACGTGCTATAACTGAATCACGTTCATCACCAAATAGCATGGGTTGAGATAAAGAAGCAAAGAAAGCATCGACTGTGTTCTGTTGTGCAACTTGTAGTTGCTGTTGTTGTTGTTGCTGCTGCTGCTGCTGTTGTTGTTGAGCAGTTACTGAAAGACTTTGATCAAAGCCGAAGCCTTGCGCTGTAATAAACGAAATATGTTTACAATTAGATGGTATATAACACACAAAATACAAACTTTGATTACGGAATTATGTAATACAATGTCACTAGCAAGGATGTTGTTATAAAGGCAACAACCTGTATACTTGAAAGTGAACGATTTTACTAAAGTAGTATCTATACGATCTATTCCAAAGTCTGTGACCAGTAGTCGAGGGTAAGTGATTTCAATTTAATTTAGGTTAAGCTTAGGTGAGGGTGAGTGGGGCTACTTCGCTACTCAAACAGAAGTAATGTATAGTGAGTTTTGAGAGTGAAAGTCAACAAGCATTTTCTAGAATACCTCTCAAAATTTTGTCAATCATATAATTAAAGAATAACAAAGACGGAACTGACATGACTAACTCATAATGGTTTGAAACTTAAAAGCATAATAATAATAATAAAAGTTTTATACAGTATTATATGTTTCATGCATTGTGAAATTCCTAAAGTACGATGGTGCATCAAGTTTTTCCTACTTTTCTTTTATAAAAACAGTACAATGGATAAGTGTATAGGCGAAATGAAAAAATAAATTAGTTAGAATTAATTGGAATATTTTAAGGAAAATAAGAACCTATACAACTATGAATTAGCAGTAAGTTCATGAATATACTTTAGATTAAGTCAGCTCATATGACTAACTAGTTCATTCCCTA